TGAACCACGATCTTTCTATGGCTTCCAGCATGTGCAACAGTGATTTTAACAGTGCTTTTCCAGTTTCAAGTCATGTCATTCTTCGCCGTTATGTTCAAATGTACTTTCCACAACTATACCTTCAAAAATGACTTCATAAATTAGTTATTTAAAATATTATTTTGGGGGGGCCAGCAGGTGGCACGGTGGTTAAGGCACTGAAGTGCCACGTGGCCTACCTGCGGTTCGCCTCCTGGACCCAGCAGCTTGAAAATCGTGTCGGGCATGTATGTGTATACATGCCCAAAATTCTCGCAGGAGAATGGAGAAGGAATTGCAGCATGGCCATCTTCCCTGGGGAGTGATCTGATTTGTCACTCCACCCCCAGAGAGTACACAAGCCCTATATATTATATGTATATATTATATATATATGTATGTATATGTATGTATGTATGTTATTTTCATCTGCCTTGACAAATTCCCTGATAATTTAGTCATTTAAATATTTCATTTTATTTTTAAAACCAAAAAAAGATGCATATTAAAAACTAGCCATGTGTTGTTCTATGCCACACAATGCCATGTTCATGCATGACAGGAAGGACTGTGCAGTGGGACCTGGTCTCGCTGCAACCCCCTTCCTCTCTACCTCTCCATCCTGTCAGGATCCTGTGCACACGTGGATGGTGTGTTTTTCAAGGTGCGAGGCCAGGACAGGCGTGAGAGCTAGCTGCCTCTGCCAGTGCCCACACTGTGCTACACGGTTAGCCCTGACACACTAGCTATTTTACTCAAGGGTACTGATGTCCAATTATATATCATTTTATTGCAAAACTGACCTGTGATGAGAGACGAGATGATCGTAGTAAGCCATTAAGTCCAATACCAGGAATAGGTTATGAGTTAAATGGAATCACAAACCGCTGGGTGAATGAATAAACGAACATTATCTACTTTGTTCTGTTGTTTTAAAACTAATTCAGCTGCATTTGTGATCAACATGGGTCTACTGCTCAAGATTCCTTTGGCATCATCAGGCCTGAAAGGCATACAAATATTGCTAATTAACTTTGACTGTATTCATGTGCAGAAAAGAGCATAGCAGGCATGATACTGCAGTCCTTAGAAAGGTCTGCTAAGGAGACTGACTCTGAGCTGGAGTCTCAGAACTGGAATGTTGCTAGTGTCTGCACCATTACTTCATTGATAAGTAGTTAGCTGTGCCCAAACTGTGCGAGCAATATTGTTTATGCTGAACATCTGCTTTCCTTCTGGGAGTCTGAAATTTTGGTAGCTGATAGATAGAGGGTACCCGTAGGACAACTCCCAACAAACACTCTAGGAGTTGAGTCTCTAAGGGGCTTCCATTAGACAACATCTCACACATGTCCTCATTTTATTGTGGCGGAATAAGGCGTATCTTGCATGAGTCTAATGGAAAAGACCCCTGGCAGTTTGCGCCTGGTTTCCTCTGAACTTCATCATGCCTTTTCCCTTTGTTGATTTTGCTCTATCTGCTATAATAAATCTTAGCCTTCAATACAACTATACGCTGAGCCTTGTGAGCTCTCCAAGCTATTCACCAAACCCAACGGGAGTCTTGGGAGCCCAATGGGAGTCTTGGGAGCCCAACGCAATCCAATGTAAGTCTGAAGAGCAGAAATGGTGCCTTCTATGTATTTATATTTATTGGAGTACATTACACACTCTTAGATATAACAGGTATTTATCACATTTGGTGATTGTCTATATTATTCTCTTAATATATCCAAACCAGGAGCCAGCAGATAGCTACTGTTTACATTGCTGGACTTCCACGTGGCCAACTGTGGATCAAGTCCCAGACCCGGTGGCTTGCAAATCACACCAGGATGTGTGCATGCACACCCAAGATCCCAGGGAGGGAGTGTAGGAGAGGGGACTGTGGTGTGGCCATCCCCACTGGGGGGGATAGTTTCTTACTTTCTCTCTCACTATCTCTGTCTCTCTCTCTCCCTGGAGAGCACATGGCAAAAAAATCTAAGAGGGTAAAAAAATATATATCCAAACCAGTCTAAAGATGTTAGTTAATATTGCTGAACTAAATGATAAAAATATATATATAATAATGGCACAGTTCAAACAACAAATGAAAAATTTTGGGGGGGAGAGACAGGTTTTTGCTATAAGATGCTTGCGTTCACCAGAAAGACAGAGACAGAAAGTGAGAAATCACCCCCAGGGGAATGGCCACACGGCAATCCCTTCTCCTCCATTCTCCTCTTGGGATCTTGGGGACACACACGTGCTTGGCATGAGTTTAAGTCACTGGGTCTGGGACTCGAACCACGGTTGACTACAGAGGAGTCCAGTGACATAGCCATTTTGCTAACTGCTGGTTCCCACGAATGGATTTTTTTTTTAAGGAATTACTTTATTCAATTTTACGTATGTACGTATGTATGTATGTATTTAAATTTGCTGAGAGCGGGACAGACTGAGTGAGAGAGGGGGAGAGAGGGAAAGTGCAAAAGCAAGCTACATCATCTGGGACTCGAACCGCATTCAGTCATGTGAGAGTCCAGTGACCTTAACCATCACACCACCTACCAGCCCCTAAATGGAAAGTTTCTGGTAGGCTGAAGTAACACTAGGTGGACAGAAGGTTTATTACTTTGACCAGGAATAGTCTATAATCCGCCAACTAGTTTTTAATGCTGTTCTGAATGTCACCTGCCTGAGAACTTCCTAAAGAATATCTTATGAATTCTTGATTAGATTTCTTTTTGTATCTGTTCACGTATCATTGGAATTTAGGAAAACGCAACATACTTCAGTTATATGTGACTGACAGACAAGTCCAGGTATTCCATCGAGCTTCTGTGTTATTTAACTACAACTCTGTGATGTTTTAAAGACGTAAACAATCCATAATTCCTTGTACTTAACATAGTTGCTGCAAAGCTACCTTACAAATTGGCCAAAAGATCCAAAAAAACTGCAACTCAGGTACGAAATAAACATTAAAATAAGGCAAATGTAGGCTCAAAGAATGAAAGGAGTCAGTAAACGGGAGGATACACCATTGTTAAAGGAAGCTCTAAGCCATTTCCAATGACAATGCACATTTTTGGTCTTAACCTGTCATAGCAAAAAGAAAAAGAAAATACTTATTATTTTTATTTATTTATTTATTTATTTATTTTGAGAGGTTTTCACTATAGGGCGCGTGCACTCGCCAGACAGACAGAGAGACATAGAGACAGAAAGTGAGAAATCACCCCCCCCCCAGGGGGATGGTCACGCCGCAATCCCTTCTCCTCCATTCTCCTCTCGGGATCTTGGGCACACACGCACACGCGCCCGGTGTGAGTTTTAAGTCACTGGGTCCAGGACGCGAACTGTGGTCGACTACGTGGGAGTCCAGCGACATAGCCATTACGCTAACTGCTGGTTCCCAAGACTTATTATTTTTAAAGTAAATGTCATTATCTGACATAAAGATTTTATATCAAATGTCAACTGTGTGTTGAAAGAAAGCAGAGGAGTTATCATAAACTATACCAAGTCAGTGACTCTTCCAGTTATGAAAGCCCTATTTGCAGAGGAAAATTTAAAATACTAGAACACATACTTTACCAATGTGTATGACAAACTTTTTTCAGATTTTTATTGTGATTACTGGTTTACATATAATCACTGCACATTTTTGTGGGGCATAGTATGGTTTTCCAAAGCATGCATTTTGTGTATAATAATCATATTAAGGATACAAACAATATTTTGACAAGATATTACTAATACGTAGAAAATATAAGTCATTAAATTAGCTAAGTCACGCACAGCTGAAAAGGCACTAAATGGAAAGCAACCCCCAGAGTTCATCAAATCATTTTTCTAAAACATAAGCCGTTAACTCCCAGATACGTGAAAACAACTGGTGGAAAGAGACTTGTTTTTTCTTTTTAGAGAGATTTTTTTTGTAGGGCGCAAGTGCTTGCTGGAGAGACAGAGACAGAAAACAAGAAATCACCCCCCAGGAAGGGTGGTCACACCACAATCCCTTCTCCATTCTCCTCCTAGGATTTTGGGCACACACGCCTGGTGTGAGTTTTTAAAGCTACCGAGTCCAGGGTTCGAACTGCAGTAGACTACCTGAGAGTCCAGCAATGTAACCATTATGGCACCTGCTGGTCCTGGAGGAAGAAGATTTCTTTGGTTTTTGGGACATGAAGAAAGTAAGAATAAAAGAGAGATTTGGCCATTTTAGAGTTGCTTTGGTTTTTGGGACATGAAGAAAGTAGGAATAAAAGAGAGATTTGGCCATTTTAGAGTTTTTCTTCAGTTCTATCCCCAGAGTAGTCAGGGCTTACAATGCCAATGTCTACCAATGCGTTAATACTTTAGTCATTAAATCTAGTGGCTCTACTCATGGCCAGTAACATAACTGGCAGAGGTAGGACACTTTAAAGTTGAATTCCGTCTTTAAATCAAAAACGTTTCTTTTGATACCAACAGAGTTTACAATCTCACCAAATTTTCCACTATTGTAAGATCTGGATTCCTGGTTCTATATCTAATCTCTAATTCAAGCCACCTTTACTAATCAAGTAAAGGTTAAGCTCCGAAAGAAAAGGTGAGGGCTGGCACCACAGCCTAGTGGTTAAGGGAGTCCGATCCCACATGGCCGACCACGGTTCAAATCCTAGCCAAGGCAACTTGAAAACCATGCTGGGCACATGTGTGTGCATGCCCCAAATCCCACGAGTATGGAGGAATGGCGGAGAAAGGATCGCAACATAATCATGGCCCACTGCAGGGTGCTTTCTACCTGTTCCTCTCCCCTCTCCCTCTCTCCCTGTTTCTCTGTCTCTGGTCAGTGCACACACCGTCTGGCAGTTTTAAAAAAAAAAAAAAGGAAAGGGGATAAACACTATTTCTCTCTTCTGTTATGTTCTTATTTTACATTCTTAAAAACATATTTTATAAAAACAAAGATCAGCAAGTTGACACCAGCTTAATCATACAAACACAGCTACCTGTACCCAAGAGCAGAGATGTCCTTGGATTGCGTGATAGTTTTCATTATATTGAAATGGTGCAGTTGCTGCGACTTGAACACATGCGCTGGAGAATTGGAATCTTGTAATTAGAAAGTTAAATTTTAGAAGTACGAAGGTGTACAACGATGAAACATTCTACATGTTATCTGCTGCTTAAGGCAAATTTTAATTGTGTTTAAACATTAGGTGAAATGTGCAACTCAAGAGTAAATCAGTGAATAGTGAAAACCAATAATGATAGATAATGGAGGTATCGCGGAAGCTGGTTAAAAAATTATAATGACGAGAGAACTAGTAAGAATATAGCAACCTGGCTGAAATTGATATTCATTAGGGTACTCTTCACATCAATAGGGAGCATTTGGACTCTGTGGTCTTTATCAGTGTCCCAGCTGGTAATGGTGGAAGGTTAATGCCTTACCCCATTCTGTTCAATTTTCTATCCTAATTAGCCCTCCAAATCTATAGCTGTGAGCACCAAGTGTCTGTGCTCAAAAGAAACTAATTAATGCTAGCAAATTAGATCAAGTCCAAAGATCCAACAGCCAAACTCTTAGTTAAATGCTCCTTGTTAATAGGAAGTGTAGCTGTCAATAACTGCTGTTGGTGACTATAATGAGGCATCTTTCTTTCATTGAAAGTGATTTCATTTCTCTTTGTCCCTGGAAAAGCTGTTCCATTCCCTTCACAAATCTAAGTTGCTGGCAGTCTGACCCAATTCTTATGATCAGCTGGGTTGAAATGACATGGGAAAAAAAAAAAATTAAACAGAAAAGCTTTTCTACATAATCATGTTTCAGGCATTTAGCAGAAAAGTCAGACCACTTATTAAAATTCCTATATCTTTACCCAAGAATCATATAATTAGCATGCACAACACTTTAATATAAAATCTTATAATTATTTAATAAAAACAAAGGTTATAAACAGTGAATAAACTACACTGAAAGTTTCCTCATTCTAAATTACACCTTATTATTTAATTTAAAGCAGTCTTCCTCTGCTGCGTGAGCAATATTAACATACATTCTTCCCTAATTCACATGGTTAAACAGGGAGGAAACTATGGATTTACTATTCTTTTACAAGATAATCAATTTTAGATTCTATAGCACTGTTTTGGACCATATGGCCTGCAAAATCAATATATGATTATCTATAAGAAACTCAAATATTCGAAAACCAATTATATGTTTTTACAGCAGCAAACACACTGAAATAATCTAAATGAATCTCAGATTTTCAGATGCTTTCAATCTTCCAAAAATTGTTAAGTATATTAAAAAACAAAGATTTAATAACTATGTCAACACCCTAAGCAAATTATTTACTGAAGAAGTGAAAAACACTTTCTTTTCTGTACTATTATAAAGCAGTAGTTGAGCAACAAAAACACTTCCAAGTTGCATTCTATTCTTTCATTTCATAAATGAAGTTTTGCTGCTTAAGAAAAAGCGAAGGTAGTTTTTGAAACCCAAAGCCGTATTGAATTTTGATCTAAAAAAGTCAATAAAAATTAAATCCGTAATTGAGTTAGCTAGCTTTTTTTAATTCTGTTTGTCAGGATAATGTATTATAAAACAATATATATGTATTACTTGAGACCGATTAAATAATAAGTATATTTTCCTAGCATTTAAAAGATAACCCTATAACTTCATTATTCATGTTGAAGTTTTATCCTCCCTCACTTCAATCAGAATACATGAGAGGACTTTAAAAACTCATGGAAAAACAGAATTAAAGTACAAGTTTACCTTGAGGCCAAAAAAATTTGAAATCTATGCATAGTCTTGTCATAATACACATTCTCCATAAAATTTTTGAAGCCCTCCCCCTTTTTATTTAAGTTCTATGAGGCAGGTGGAAGGATTACATCCTAGGACTATCAGCATGACACTGATCAATGTATGTGTACTGAACCCCGTCTGCAGGTGCCAATAGGTTCATTTCCCCTGACACCCACCTGGGGGTGGAAGTTGAAGAAAGGTGCTTGCTCTGATTAAGTAACTAATTCACAATGGAAAAAAAAAGTAATACCATATAATGATTATGTATTTTAAATCATCAATTTGTGGCTGGATTTAAAAGTAGGACAGTGAAAACTTATTTAAGAAACAAATGACTGGGACCAGCAGTTGGGGTAATGGCTATGTCACTGGACTCCCATGTATCGACTACAGTTGGAGTCCCGGACCCGGTGGCTTAAACTCACGCCGGGTGCGTGCGCGTACCTGCCCAAAATCCCGAGAGGAGAATGGAGGAGAAGGGACTGTGGCGTGGTCGTCCCCCTGGGGGGTGATTTCTCACTTTCTGTCTCTCTGTCTCTGGCTGTCTGACGAGCGCACACGCCCTATAGCAAAAACCTCTCAAAAAAAAAAAAAATCCAGACTCATTGTGAGTCCTATTGGGATTCCATTAACAATTCAGTAACAGACAATGGCACCAAAGAAAATCATCTTATATACATACATACATATATACATATGTATACACACATGCACACACAGATATATGTATTCACATAGATAAGTATGTTGATAGGGTAAAAACAGGTACATGTCTTCCTCTTCCCTAGCGAAATCACCAGAATAATACATTTCTCTAAAATAGACATACATAGTTTTTCTCTATATATAAAACTGTACTTCTGGGGGGAAGATGTTTTTACTAATAATTTGGGGGAATATTTTTAAATTGTAAATGAATTGAACACTGCCTGGAAGTTCTGAAAGCTGAAATACGGGTATCTCAGTGAGAAGGTGAGAAGCAATTCATACATATTAATTCAGTTGCTACTTGACTCTGAGGCTAAGGATTAAATTCAGATCATATTATTAAAAATGAATTTGATCTTTATATGAATATTTGAATCTTACCTTGAACTTGTTCAGAACACCTCTCTCTGGCCTTTTCTCTCATTATTTTAGGGATCAAAACATCTTTTTCAACATGTCTGAGATGCTGCTCTGGAGAGAAAAAAAAAAAAATGATCATTCTTAAATGTGGTTAAGATTCAAGTAAAGCACCAGGTTGGAGGGGAAACGAAACACTTAAAAATAAAATAAAAACTATAGAAATAAACACTGCATCTTTTATAACCTCATAAAATTGTAATTATTTTAGTCACTGAAAATCACCTTACATATTTTTGATATCCCAAAAATATATAAAGAACAAAGGCAACAGATTTCTAAAAATTTCTACAAACCATACTGTAACATCATTACTTGATAACACACTCCACATAGTCCTGTCAAAATTAAAGTCTATGGGACCAGCAGTTAGCGTAATGGCTATGTTGCTGGACTCCCACATGGTCGACCACGGTTCGAGTCCCGGACCTGGTGGCTTAAAACTCATGCCAGGCGCGTGTGCGTGCGTGCCCAAGATCACGAGAGGAGAATGGAGGAGAAGGGATTGCGGCATGGCCATCCCCCCTGGGGGGTGAGTTCTCGCTTTCTATCTCTCTGTCTCTGTCTGGCAAGCACATACGCCCTATAGCAAAAACCTCTAAAAAAAAAAAATTAAAGTCTAAATCATCATTATCTTATTAATATAATCTATGAGAAGAGGATTCTCATCAATACTCACACCTAAGGATAGCTGCACAGATATAAGCTTATGAGACACAGGTAGCTCTTTTACTTAGTTAAGAGTACCTGAAGATGAGACCAACAGGTGGCATAAGGGTTACGTTGCTGGATTCCCACATTGAATCCTGGACCCAGTGGCTTAAAACTCACACCGGGTGTGTGTGCGTGCATGCCCAAAATCCCAAGAGGAGAATAGAAGAGTAGGGATTGTGGTGTGGCCATACCCACCCGGGAGGGCAGGGGTGACTTCTCGCTTTCTGTCTCTTTGTCTCCCTGTCTCTCTCTCTGGCGAGCACAAGCACCCTATAGCAAAAATATCTATATTGGGGAGGGGGAAGGGTACCTAAAGATGGGCCCAGCAGATGGTGTAATGTGAATGTCACTAAACTCCAACATAGTTGACTGCCATTCAGGTCCCAGACCCACAGGCTTTAAACTCACCCCAAGCGTATACGTACGTGCTCGAGATCCCAAGAGGAGAATGGAGAAGGGATTGCAGTCATCCCCCCTGGGGGGTGATTTCTTGCTTTTTCTGTCTATCTCTCAGTCCCTCTGGCAAGCGTATGCATTCTATGGCAAAAATCTCTCTTAAAAATAGGTCCATACACAAAACAAAGCATGTGGGATTTCTGTGCATGATAAACACAATGTCTACAAGGAGACTTAAATACCACTCTGAGCACCTAATCCAGATTCCCTGCTTCTAAGTTTGAAGAGAGTCCTAAAAACTAAACAGGAGTGCTTCCCAGTGAACCAAAAATGACAAGGAACCTCTGCAAGGCAAAAGGCAAATGAGATCAGATTAAAGGAAGTAACAGCCCCAGCCACAGTGGAGCAAAGCAGAGGGTTCCTCTCCAAACGGCTGGGGCTGTGTGGCAGGCTGGGTTCAGTTCCCAGGCCAACCTGAACAGGCCGGCACAGTGACACACACCTGGGACCCTAGTTAACTAGGAAGCTAAGGCAGGACAATCACAGAGATCCTTCCAGAAATAACCCTCCCCTTGTCTCTCCTGCCTGTGTGTGGGCTCTCTCGCTCTCATTTCTTTTTCCAAAGGAGGCAATCATCTTCCTATACAGAGTGCCCAGGGAAAAATGGATACCAAAAGAGGGTGTTGCTCCATGATCTGAAGCTGTAAAACTAGGAAGTGAGAAAAACTCCCGCAGAGAAAACTTAAGAGTTGCTGGTCTTCTGGTCCTCACTAAGAACCAAATGGTCACTTCTTTTTTTATTTTTAGATTTATTTAATTTTATTTATTCATTCATTCATTTTCATGTGACCAGAGAGAGAGAGAAAGAGAGGGAAAGTGAGAAAGCAAGCGACCAGGTCTAGGACTCAAACCGTGGTCTGCCATGTGAGAGTGCCCAGCGCCTTAAGCACCACACCACCTGCTGGTCCCATTTATTTTACTTTTTTAGAATTATTTAATTTTATTTGAAATGGTCACTTCTGCTGCCCTCAGACCACAGCTGAAAGAAGTAATGTAAGGTGTTTATCCGCAAAGACCAGGAAACTCCCAGTGGTTAGTAACAACCAGGAAGACCAGGAACCCCTAATTCCTCCTGGTACTAGACTGTTACCAGCGACTTCAGGATGCAGTCAGTCAGGAACTGGCACGTTTCCAGAGAGGGAATCCTGGCCCTGGTGATCTGAAGCCACACTTGACACATGTGCCCACAAGCCCAAATCCCCCCTGGCTACAGAAATGGAAGAGAGGGGACTGTGGCATGAACACACCCCACCTGATGTGCTTCTTCCTTCTCTCTGCCCCTCTTCCTCCCTGGCAAGTGCATGTGCCCTTGGACACTTTAAAAAAAAGAAAAAAAAGATTCACTCAAGAAGACAAAGACAACCAATATAGCCCTAGGTTGATTAAAAAAATTTAAGCCTTTCCACAAAGAAAATTCTAGGCCCATGTATCCTCTCTTGTAAATTGACCAAACATTTAGGGAACAAATAACAATTCAACATAAACTTTTCCAGAAAATTTCTCTCAGCCAGCATGACACTGATATCAAAACAAAGACATTACAAAAAAAAAAAAAAACTTAACAGAAGGTGAGCCAACTGAACCCAGTAATATATAAAAAGATAATACTTCATGATCAAGTAAGATTTATCACAGGATTTACAATTAAAAATCAGTAAATGAAATTATTTATATTAAAAAACTGAGGAAAAAAAAGCCACCTGATTATCACAATAGACACAGAAAATGCATTTGGCATTCCTAATAAAAACTTTCCGTTTTCCCAACCACAGTGGCATACCCTGCTAAAACAATGTGTTCTACAGGCTGGAAACGCATGGGAGACTCAGGTTTGATTCCCTGTCTAACCTAACGGTGCAGTGGGGTATACCTATAATTCCTGGGACTCAGGAAGCTAAAGCAGGAGGATCACAACAGCGAGACCCTGTCTATAACAAAAAGAAGAAAAAGAAATAACTTCTCGGTAAAGGAGGAATAGGAGGAAATATCCTTGACATGATAAACAGCATCAACAAAAAAAAGCCCACAACTAAAATTATATGTCATGTTGAAACACTGAATATTTCTCTTAAGATAGGGAACATATGAAAAAGTCTGTTCTATTTACCATTCTAATTTTGGGTCGTTAGAAAAATCACGATGCATTTTTCTATAAAAAATGGGCCATAACTTTTCTGAAGACCCAACAGACCTTCTGGCCAGTGCAATACAGCAACAAAAATAAATAAGAGGTATCCAGATCGAAAAGGAAGAAATCACAGTTATTCAATGAAGTAGAGATGAAACAAGAAACATCTCAGACAACTAGAAGATGGCCCGATAAAAATTATACAATGTGAAAAGTTACTCAGAAAGGAAGGAAATACAAATAACAGGAGTGAAAAAAGAGCAACAACGTAAATGTAGTAAACTGGTCTTCTTGAAGGATTAAAGTTATTTTCAACAGTCAAAAGCAAAGACTGTAGCTCTCCATGTGTGTTTCTGTAATGCTAAAGATAACTAGATCAGGGGACTAGCAGATGGAGTGATGGTCATATCATTGGCCTCCCACATGGCCAACCACGGTTTGAGTCCTGAACCCGGAGGCTTGAAACTCATGCTGGGTGCATGTGCACACGTGCCCAAAATCCTAAGAGGATAATAGGGAAGAAGAGACTGCAGTGTGGCCATCCCTCCTGGGGGAACTGATTTATCTTCCCTCTCACTGTCGTGTGTGTGTGTGGTGTGTGTGTCTCTCTTTCTTTCTTTCTCTCTCTCTCTCTCTCTGGTGAGTACACATGCCCTAAGGCAAAAACTTCTTTAAACAAAAAAGACAAAGGGGACAAGCAGGTGGCATGGTGGTTAAAGGTGCTGGACACTCCCACATGACTGACCACGGTTCAAGTTCTAGACCTGGTGGCTTGCTTTCTCACTTTCTCTCTCTCTCTCTCTCTCTCTCTCTCTCTCTCTCTCTCTCTGCCTATCTCTGGTCAAAATAAAATAAGTGAATGAATAAATAAAATAAAATTAAATAATTCTTTAAAAAGAAAATGCAAATTAAACCAATACTGTTTCACATCCACCAGAATGACTAAAATTAAAAACAGTCAACCCAATTTTGGAGAGAACATGGAGCTACTAGAACTTTCATATATCGCTGGTGGGAGTGTGAAATAAAACACTTCATTGAAAAATGGCTTGCTCAGTTATAGGGTAACTTATACACCCCCTATGTTCCGTTCCTAGGTGTTCATTTACACAAATTAAAGCACATGTCCAGAAAACAAACTGTACAAGTATGCCTATGAAAGCATTATTCATAATAGGCAAATAAAAAAGAGTAACACTATTGATAACACTACTACAGATAGAACATGCCTAGTCCAAAATGTTCCAACCTTTGAGACATGTAGTGTCAACATGATAGCACAAGTGGAAAACTCCACACCTGACTTCACGTGATGGGCCTAGGCAAAAGGAAGCAATATAAACTGCTGACTAAAATGACCTCCAGGGGCTAGCAGGGGGTGTAGTGGTTAAGGTCTGGACTCCTACATGGCCAACTGCAGCCTGAATCCCAGACTCAGAGCCTTGAAACTCACACTGGGCATGTATGCGTGTGCACCCAAAATCCGAGGAGGGATTATGGTGTGGCCATTTTCCCTGGGGGGCTATTTCTCACTTTCTGTATCTGTCTCTTCAGCAAGGGCATGTTCCTATAGCAAAAATCTCTCTTTAAAAAAAAAACAAATTAAAATTATCTTCAGGTTATAAGGCATACAGTGAAACATAAAAGAGCTTTGTGTTGTCTACTTGAATCCCATCCGCAAAGTATCTTGTTATGTTAATATTTCAAATTTGTATTATGTAAGTATTGCAAAATCCAAAAAATATTGGAAATCTGA